TTTTTTAATAGTCCAAATGCAAAGTAATATTTATGTTAAGATTAAAAATACATTTCTTCGTCTCAAATTTCAATTGTATGATCCTTAAAATCCCTAAATGGATTTCAAACATTTTGTATAAGTAAAACTTCATCTTTATCTCTTATTTCCTCTACCTTAACTCTATACAGGGCTGATCAATTTGATCAACCTCGTAACCACAGAAAAAAAATCGAAATAATTCTAAATTAGCTATTTTTTTCTTTCTGGAATGACTTCAGATTGTAACACAGAACAACATTTGTTTATCCTAAATAGTTATATACTCGTAACAGTATACATATACTTATACTTAAATTTTATTGTCTAACCACTATCGGGGCCATTCGAAATACACTACGCACGAGCTACTTGCGAGTGTACCTCGTGAAAATTTTCTATTATATTATTATCATTTATTTTACCTAATCTAACCTTAAATAACTTAAAAAGTTGAAGATCAGAAAACAAGGTTTGATGAATTCGAAGACTAAAGCACTGAACTCTGTGGTCATAGTGAGTATAGTTGAGTTTAGAAGCGCGTCTGGATGCGCAATTGTCGTCATGATGATGGAGATGCAGAGGATACATACTATCACCCAAGGATTAATTCAGGACTGAAGTTTTTTCGTTGTGGTCAACCAACTTGTCACTGCACTGAAATACCGTTTTGATGCATATAAAGATGTTGCCAAATTAGGATTCCTTTCTAAACTATCATGTCTTTCATGTCAATAAATCAGCCACCCTGCAAAATGTTTTTCCGTTCTTTTCCGAACGATGTTGAAACCGAGATAGAAAAATAATTGATCCAGTTTTCCACATTTGAAATTCCAGAGCTTTGACGTTCATTCACACAGTTTTAACCAACAGAATCAGTGGAGTTAAGAATATTCCTTTTTCTCCATAGACACGCCTTTATCGAAACATTTCCTAATGTTGAGATAGTGCTGAGATTATACTTGTTCATGATGGTATCAAACTGCAGCGATCGCTTTCGAAATTAAAACGAATAAAAAGTGAACTCATGAACAGAACAGGACAAAGCCAAATAAAGTTTCTATAATGAACATAGAATGTGACATATTTCGAAAGCAAGACTTTTCGAAACTCATTGACAAATTAATTTATAATAAAGCCAGAAGAATACAATTCCAGCTTTATACAGGTACATGCAGGTTCTAATAAAGTTGTCTTCGTGAAGGACTAAAATGTGTTTCCACACGTTTGTGGTTAGTTAATATTGTTTCCAGTGTTACAAGGCTATGTATATCATTAAAATGTTCTCACGTGTATATGCTTAACATTATGATTTTGACAGTGAAATTGACTCAGTTCACAAGAGATCAATATATCTACGATGGGAAGAGGGGGGGGGGGTTCTACTCCTACCGCCCGGGTACTAAGCAACTCTTAATCCGTCATTGTACACAGTTTTATAGAAAAACGATCAAGGAAACTATAATATATCATAACGTAAATGGATACTTAATTATATTAAAATCAGGTGATATTTATCATTTTACAAATATCTTAGATGTTAATGCCAACTTTTGGCAGACAATTAGCAAAATACGTAGTAAATCTATCAGAGTATTAAAAACGCATTGGAAATTTATTTTCATACTCATATGATTTTACTTTTAGGTTTTTAACGTTTCAAATATAATATAATTATTAATATTTGAACCATTTTAAACCATACATGTTCTTTTTTTTCAAAATTGTTATACATTGGGTTTCATTTGCAAAATATTTCGAATATTGTAAGCTTCTTGTATATTTTGTTTTTAAATAAGCTTCCCGAAGTAATAAAAGTTATGCCTTTAAAATAATCTTGTAAGTGCAAGAGTAATTAAAAAATGTGAAAAAAGTATTTGCTTATCGTCTAATCTTATCAATAATTTTTTTCTTGGCTGATTAATGATTATTTTCTGTATTGCATTGATAAGTTTGTACTTGCTTATTGAAGGTATCCCTGATAGCTCGAATCATTCCAAGCCCTGACTGGTTCATTGGAGTGGACAGTTTTGAGTTATGTGTGAATGGCAAGTGGGTAGACACCATTATATTGGATGTCGATCCTTTAGACGCTGGAACCGACAACGGATTTACTTTCACTGCTCCAAACTGGCAGACAGAACCCAGAAACAAAATTTCTCAAATCACTGCCCACCATCCCAGTCATCCAGCTAATTCTTTCTACTACCCTAACCTGAGGAAACTCCCTATAATTGCTTACTTCCAATTCACGAAAACAAAAATTTATGAATTAAGTGAAGTGTTTTCTCATGTGAAGGATCAAATCATTGCTGAAGAGGAAGAAGAAGAATCAGAGGAAAAGAAACTGGAGGAAGAAGTTGTTATAATGGAAGCCAACACCGTCGGTTATGAAGGGACCGTTAGCGGTCTTAGGATCAAAATCATCAAAAATGATGAAGCAACAGAACATTCAGCAAGAAGTCAAACTAAAAGACTGAGAGAATTGTTGAAGCAGAGAAGAAGTGGTTTCCGAATTCGTTCCGCATCACACCATTCAGCACATCGTAAGTACAGTCAGATCTCAGTTTGGGTTTCCTATGTGAAAGAAGGTTTAAAACGCTAGATATTAAATGAAGGTTTGCCAATATAATGGCAGGTTGCACAATGAACTATTTCTCGTAATTTTTTATTTTGGTGTCGTTAGATACTTATATAGTTTTTCTCTTTTACTTTCCTAAGCATCTGTTCTTTGTAGTTACATCTCATTTTGCTAAAGATAATAAATAATTATAAATTATATTTTTGTATTCTACATTTATACGTTTTTATACTTGCCAAAGCAATTGTACTGTGCTCAGTAAAATTAAAATACAGTGGTTAAGTACATTATACTAAAACGGTTTCAGCGTTTCACAACGTTTTTACAATTCATGTTGCCACTTTAGGTCATGCTCTATGACGACTGTGCACTTTGACAATAGCCCTGCAGTATATTTGCCATTCCAATAGGCGCTATCGTGACACTGTCATGTCCAGAGCACACCATTTCTAGCTGCAGGCTTAGCGTAATAAATCTAATGTACGAGGAAGACGGTTTCCCACCTCCCGTTTCAACAGTCCGATTGCAGAGTAACCAATAGGCGCTTTGTATGGAAGAACGTGAATTCATGTTTCATTTTGCAACTTTTTAGGTTGTGCTACTATTGAAAGGAGAGGTGTGGTTTGTTTTGAATTTCGCACAAAGCTACACGAGGGCTATCTGCGCTAGCCATCTCTAAGTTAGCAGTGAAAGACTAGAGGGACAGCAGCTAGTTATCACTACCCACCGCCAACTCTTGAGCTACTCTTTTAGCAACGAATAGTGGAATTGACCGTCCTACGACTGAAAGGGCGAGCATTTTTGGTGGGACGGGGATATGAACCTGTGACTCTCAGATTGCGAGTCAAGCGCCTTAACCACCTGGCTATGCCGAGCCTAGGGAAGGTGGGACTGGAAGCCTTACCTTGGTGAACCCATATCCTTTTGATCTTGCTGATTATATTGTGTATTGTTACCTGGGACACGTCGATGGCTTTTGTCACTTACCTTTGTTTACCTCGACTGGGATATGACTTATTGCGGCTTTCTTTGTGAACAAACTTTGTTCCTAAAGTTCATCCATATTTCTTTGTTTCCAATGTCATTAAGTACAAGGGAGATCCTTGTCTTGGAAGATCTAACCCCCCCCCCCCCGATCTGAACAAATCTTTAAGACCTGAGTGGATGAATACTTTACGTCGAAAAAAACTCTCACATGCCCTTACCGAAAATCTTCAATTTTAGGTGGCATCACACTACCTACGTAACGCCAACCGATGTCAAAATGTAGTTCTGGTATATGCTATTACACCATGACTTCTTATACAATGTGGCTATTACGTGACTTGTTGCTTTGTATATTCAAAATCATTTTGATATAACGTACTAAATTCTCTCTTAGATAGCGACATAAATGTAGGGATATTTTTAAAATGTATATATATATATATATGTACTTACGTTTTTAAAACGTTCTGTAGGTCGACCTCGTCCATGCAAGGTCAGCGACTGGTCAGAATGGTCATCATGTAGTGAAACCTGTGGTTTTGGTAAATCCACCCGAACGAGAAGAGTAATCAGACACGCCAAGCGTGGAGGATCTCCTTGTCCACTCTTACAAGAAACGCGATGGTGTCGGGGAACTGGAAACTGTCGTTTGGAAAATAAAAGATACTTCTTTTGGTGAAAACAAAACAAAGAAAAAAGATATTTAGCTTACCATCACACAATTGATATTTTCCCGAAGAGCTAACTACATTAATTTTTGGCCTCAGCTTGTGAATCAAAATACTCTCTCTCTTTTTTTTTTGTACAGAAACTACGTATAAAACAAAAGTTAGCATTTTTTTGCGCATGGTAACGAGACTATTCTTAATTTTGAAAATTGTGGTAAATTTTCTAAGATCACATTTAAGTAACTTGCTAAACTAATACAATACCAGCATACATTTAAGGATCGCTGTTCCACAAATTATAAAATCTCGTTAATTAGTATAGGTATAACTATGACAAATAAGAGTTTCTAAAGCATGTTTTAACCTTTTTTTAAGACGTTCAGATTAAACTAATGCTGTCCAGATATTTTATTATAATAAAAATATATATGAATCACTTTAAAAACTATTAAGTGTATCTATTAGGTTAATTTAGTTTTGATGCTACTTTAAAATATTATAGTAAGTTGTACGTTTCTCTTAAAAACAATATAATAATTGTGTTGAAAAAATGGACATATTGACTTGGATGTATATAGTTTTGTTTGAACGAATCTTACAGTCGTTTGATTTGGAAACTAAAGTTTAGTATGTATTTATCCTTTCAGTAATCCTGCCCACTGCTTATCTGTCCAGCTGTTTATGGACTTCAGTTGTATCGATTTTATGAAATGCATGTATAAATTGCGTTTTTATGGTATTCCTTTATGGCGCAAACGTTTATAGTGATCTTCGTGTCATTTTAATAATGCTTTAGCGGTTCCTAATTTAAGGGTTTTATTGCGTTGAATGTTTTCAGTTAACTTTGTAATTGCCAAAAAACAAACGGTTTCTAAATGTTGAATTAATTTCTACGTTTCAGGTAGAAAATAAGATTATTATATTTTTTGTTTGAAAATTTGTTGTTTACATTTTCTGAGGTACTATTAAGGCTGATTTTGCGCTATTAAAATGTTCATCTAACTGTTAATAGTAACATACTAAACAAAGCTTCATTTTATGAATTCCTTAGTTGTCTTGCCTATGCAACATTTTTTTTCCATAATTACTCAATTTTGAAAGGTATATGCGTATATTTGTACAACCTGTGGCTCGTTTTGCTACTTTCGTGTTATAATAATTCATTGATGAGATGGTAAACCAAACATGCTTTAAGATATAGTAATTGCTTTAAATAGTCATGAATAGTCCACCTTTATGAGCTCCAAGTATTAGGTTTTACAACAGAATAGTGTTTAGTAATGAGATTCAGGCGAAATCTAATAAATATGTACAATTTACACCTGTTGGCTAGCAAACAGTGACCAAAGTAAACACTGACCAACTTGAACAAAATGAACATTCATAAAGACATTTTATGTCTCAATGTATATATTTAAAGTTGACGACTAGTTAAAATCCACTTTATAAACTATAAATGTTTTTTACAATTTGAAGATCACACTTTAATTCTTCACTAACGTCGAAAACAATCGTTCTTCCTTCACACATCTATACTATTATGCAGCTGAGACTCGGACGGCCACCAGAGAGCGCTGATTTAACCATTTGTAAACTGGATAGTTGCTTAAATTATGATGACATCGTATTTGAAACAATCAATGTAATAAAATTCTTCCATTTTGTAAGACCATTTATAGTATTAAGTTATTGTTACACTAAAGAACTAGTTTTTATCTTTAAGTATTTTTGTGTTGTGTTTTATTGTTGCAGAATACTCTCTTTATTTCCATAAGCACAGATTTTCCTAATTGATGATCTTCCAAACTTAGATAACATTTCTGCTTAATTCTATGAGAAAAATTCTGTATTGAGGAAAACAGTAATTTGTAAACTTCAGCTTTTTAATGTTTTCGTGTTTGTCCAAGAAGAAATAAAGTACCTGTAATTATTAAACTGTTGTTTTAAATCTTGAACTTTCATTTTGCATCACATTTAAGGTTTGACGTCAACAGACCATCACTCCTTCTGAGTGATTTAATGTTAATTGGTTTGTATTGTTTCATTGTTTTTTATTTGTTTTTACATGGATTTGTTTATAGGAACAAATACTTTGTTGTTTTGAAAAATAAACTTTCTTTTTTATAACGTGACATGAAAATCTGCTTGCAAGATTAATTTATGCTTTGCCTCTTAGAAGTTACAACCTCCTGTAATGATTCTGAGTATTTAGATTTAAATTCAGAGAACACTCATAATATTAACTTTTTAAGGTGAATTAGATACATGATATCTGCTGTTTCGATAGTCGTCCTGGAATTTTTTTTTTCTATAATGCGCGCATTACAGATACGATTTTTGTTTGTTAGTTTGTTCTTAAGCACAAAGCTACACCATGGACAATCTGTGCTCTGCCCACCGCTGGCATTTAACGTTATGAGCTTCCAGAATGAGCCACGAGAGGACGTAGATACCATGTTTCAGTGAGAAACCAAAATTTCGATTATTTATATTGAAAGTTACAACTTTCCTTATTGTTTCTCAACATTTGCACTATAGACACACATTCAGAGAGCGCTCATAATAATAATTGTTTAAAGGGAGTTTAATTATAATTTTTTACAGAAATTTATTGATTTGCAGTCTTAGTTTAACGAAACAAGATCTTAATTTCATCATGGGGAATCTTCGGTACAGAAATTGACTTAATATCATTATTTAGTATCTTTAGAATGGGTTTCATCACATTATAGAAGAGTTCATATCGAGTACATAGTATTTGGAAGGAATTTATTGTAGAAACACACATTCAGATCGATTATAACCAATATTCTCATTCCATATGCTATCAAAATACTCATTATTTAATATAAATATAATCTCTTGGTGTTTATGTGCAGTTGTTTACACAGATAACAAATATTACTATCTGATCCATATCTGAAAGTTTTAAACTTTGTAACAAACATGTTGAGATTAGATATAGTTAACTTGTAATGCAAATAATCAGAGGGCTTGTTAGGCAGATTTAACATATCTTCATATGATTTCTAATCCAGATAAACTACTGTAAAATATAAAGACATATATATATATATATATAAGTTGTAATTATTATCACGTCCATTATTACAAATTATTGTATCATTTAGCTTAAGTGAAAATATACTTCACAATTCAGATAAACTTTCTAGTTTTATAGAAGAATTAAAGTTTATTCTAATAAATGTGTAACAGATCGTTAATCATTAAAAGTTGTATCTTAACAGTAATGAGAAACAATTCTTATTATCTTGAAGTAATGTTCATTGGATTTATGTTTGATCAGGCTGTTGAAATGGGCGTTTAGAAACCGTCACATTTGTACATTACATGGATTATGGAAAATTAAAACACATTCCTTCAACTTACAAAAAGAATGCGTATCTTTCTCGTGATACTCATAACACCATAGAGAGGCTGTAACAAACAGTTTTATTTCTCTGTGACCTCAGTTTTTGCTCAACAATGATCGTAGTATATTATTCAGTACTAAATATAGGTGAAATTATCTCTTTTTATTATTTTGTTACTACGTACCTTAATTTGAATTGTTCCTTAATCGTAAACGTCGACTATATGTAAGAATATGATTTTTTATCGTAAAGATTAAGAAGTGGAAAAATGTTTTTCCAGTTGCATACTGTTTTCAAGAGTAATTCAAACAGAACATGGTTGAGCTTACCAACACGTTTTTACCACATGTGTCACGCCGTATCTCTTTAATAACAACATATGTTTATTCAACTAGTTCTAGAGACATATATGCTCACCAAGGACATTGTAGTTGAATAAGTGGAACATCAAAAGTACGTAAAGTCACGAAGACGATTATGGAAGCCCTAATGTACAAATACGTAGGTGTAAGCGCTGATTAAAGTACATGTTAAAAGGAACTTTTCTTGTCTTATGATAATCATGAAATATGCAAGAAAACGTTACTAATGTTAAAACACGATGTTTTATGTTGTTCTTCGCTGGGAACATCATACTTGCGACTATGTCTTACACGTAGTAACAGCAGTACAGATTTAAACATTATATATTAAATTAAATTTTTCTTTATTACACACTAATCCTAAATTACATATCGTAACATTGTATTACGTGTATAAACAATACTTGAATTATTTATATATTCAATAATATAACATTACCAATCTGTATATTTCATATATCAACATATATATATATAACTTTGCAACCTTCATTTTATTGCATGATTTCGAACGGATTTTTTTATGTAGTTATAAAATTATAACAAGAATATAAAGATTCTTTTGTATTCAAAATTTTATGCATGAAAAGTTCACAAAAATACAGATAATATCTTTAAACATTTCACTCTAATTTGGCCCAAATCAATCTCTAGTAAGATGTACATTTGTACTACTCTAGTATTTTGTATGCCAACAATTCCTTTGCTAGGTACCAGAGCTCTTTATAATTTTACAATTGAAACACGATTTATAACCATCGTTGATGATAATGTCCAAGTTGACATTTTTCCTTACATGAATGTTTCATTCCATTTACTTCTTTGAAAAGAGGGGGAAGTCATACAGCTCAACTTATTCATTTGGTAGTGCCATCTGTTGAAGAAAACCATTTCTAAAAATTGACTTGCACTGTGATTTTTGAAACTCAATTGACTTATGAAAATTATTAAAACAAGCCGAAACGCCGACCTACGGGGGCTGTTTGTGCTAGTATTTACTAATCGCAGTATTCGTACTTCATTAAAAAAACTTCAGAAAAAGTGAGCATGTTCTAAAAGAAGTACTCCACAGGAAAAGTGTTCTGATTGTCCTGATATAAATTGTAATTTTTTTATATATATTAAAAGTGGTACCCTTTATTGAAGAAATAAGTTTCTTAAGAACTCCATCCTTTTAGTAATATATTTACAAATTACATAATCAAACCCTCATGCATAGTCCTATTGAAAGTCGTGCTCTTGTTGTGAGGAGAGTACTTGTATTTAAAATTGTGTTCTGTAATAAAGAAATGGTTGTTGTACATACTGTAGTTATTTTTCTAATTGTCTGAATATTGAAAGTGTGAATTTTTTTATGGATTGTTGTCTGTGATATCACTCGATAAATGGCGCTAAATTGTATTTATTAATTCGGTCACATACATATATACACCCTACGTCCATTATAGAAAGATTGTGTTCTACTTTTTATAGGAGAAGCTCTAAGCCATATTCAGATATGAAGTGGAAGTCATGTTAATTCTGACCTAAATGATAAACTGTCTATTTCAAAATCAAAATAGTAGTTTTATATAAAAAGAAGTTTTCACATAAATACTAGCAGTTCCTAAACCTGACGTTAATGAAACTCGCAGAAGTTATTTCTATACATAATTCAAGTTGAAACCCATGAATTGGCGATGAGAGTTATTAACTAGCTGCTTTCCTTCTAGTCCAACTGTTATAAAGTGAGAACAGCTAGAGCAGGCGAACATCCGAAACACATAACTAAACAAATAAATATTAGAATAAAGTTTCAGGAATGTTTCGACGTAAGTTCCTTTTCAGTGTCTTGTCCTGGTATCGATACCATGAAACATTAAAAGGAACTCCAAGGAAAAATAAAATTTCTAAGAAAATTATATAATTACCAAGAATTCAAATAAACAGTGAAAAAATAATCGTATAAAAATGTTCCAGAACTGATAGGGTGAGCATTTTCAATGACGGATTTCGAACCCACGAACCGCAATTTGTTAGGCGAGTGCCCTAACTAGCAGGCCATGCCAGGCAATTAGGGAGAAACAGGACATTAAAATATACCTTCT